CTTTCCGTTCTTGGTATCGTCGATAGAGAAGAGGACACGAGATAGTTATGCAGAAACTTCGCGCGGGAAAGTCTCCGGTCGGAACATAATTATGTTTTTCCCAGACAACTTTCTCAAATTTCTTCAAATAAAATTCCATTCGCGAAACGAAGTGGCAATGTTTCGAGTGAGCTCGACGATCAATGCTGCGTCGCGATAAATAAGAGCGAGGTGATGTGCAAGAGGAAACTTCTCGCGCACACGAGAGTACTCTTGAATCCTCTGAATCGTCCTGCGTCATCTTCATACTATAAATATTTATCGGAATTTGTATCCACGGGAAACGCCGAACCCTTTCGCACCATGACGGCTAAATATGAACGAGCTATTAAAAAAACAGGGAAAAGGACGAGGTGAACAGGTGTGCTTTCGTATCCTCTGAATTTCTTTCGGTGGAATTTCAAAGCAGAGTGACCGCCGAGTCGCTCGAATTCGCAGCAGTTTTTCACTCGCGCGGAGCGAATCCCGCGTTTCGAAGCGTTCAGTGGAGATCTTCTCTCGAAACTGGAGCGTGAATCTTACGTAATCCAATGTCACAGAAACAAATTCGCTCTAATCGATTGATGCATTCACCTCTCGCGATTTCGAGAGGCAGTATCTTTCCGCGTGGCACTATCGCTTCGGGTGAATTTCCATACGTTTCCAGTGAGATTTTATTGTGAGACATTTAGAGAGCACAACAAATGTCTTCACTGGAAGAAGAAAAAAGGTATCTTCACTGGAGGACAAAAATCGGGAAAAAAGGTATTTAGTCGGGGAGCAAAATAAATATTGTCTTGAAATCGTAACTCGTCGTAAAAGAGCGGTTGTTTATTTCGCTGAAATAAATGAATCTAAATTTAAGTAGATATTAGGAGGTTGCATTGAAAGCCGCTGTTCACGTGTAGATGGCTCTAACTGCGTATGCTGGGGGCAGTGACAGATGTCTCTTATGTCACTTTGAAGTGTGAACATTTCCCATTGAAATTCAGTCATCAGGCGCCATCCTTTGTTTATACAAGTGTTTTCCTATAACCGAATTAAAATGAAACGCGATAAATTGTTCTTCCGATATATACTTCTACACTACTTTGATTTGAAGAAGAAGTGCCGCTGAAGCTCATCGATGGCTTGCGAAAACTTATGGTAAATCTGCTCCATCGGAAATAATATTTAGAGATTGGTTTCGACGATTCAAAAGTGATATTCAACGACAAACAACGGCCAGGTCAATCGAGAAAGTTCGAAGATGTACAACTGCAAACTCTATTGGAAGAAAACCCTGTTCAAACACTCAAAGAATTGGCTCAACAGTTCGAAGTCGATAAATCAATCATTTCACGACGTTTATAAGCCATAGGAAAGATCGAGAAAGAAGGGAAATGGCCGCCACACGAATTGACCGAAAACGCCATTGCTAATCACTTAAACATCTCGATTTCTTTGCTTGCAAGGCATAAAAAAGAATTTCTTGCGGCGTATCGTGACCGGCGATAAGAAATGGATCTATTTGGACAACCTGAAACGCAAGAATGGGTTGTTTTTGACTAATTGTTTTGGCATCAACGTCGACACCAAAGCAAAACATCCACGGTCATAAAACAACGCTCTCTATTTGTGGGATATGAAGGGTGTTGTGTATTATGAGCTGTTGAAGCCGAACAAAACAATCACCGCCGAATGTCGTCGACAACAATTGGACAATTGGACCGTTTGAATGATAATTTGATGCAGAAACGACCATCAATTGCGTCAAATCGCCGAAAAGTGATTCTTCTCCATGACAACGTTCGGCCCTATGTTACCATAGTCGTGAAACAAACACTGATGGAGTTCGAATAAGAGGTTCCCCGCATCCAGTGTATTCTCCGGACTTGACCCCCCAAGCGATTACCATCTGTTCCAATCGATGCAACACGCTTTGGAAGATACACATTTCCGTAATTACGGAGAAGTCGAAAATTGGGTTGCCGAATGGACCGGCTCGAAAGACAAACTGTTCTTTCGTCGCAGAATTCAACTTCTACCGGAAAAGTGGGGGAAAGTTATAGCTTCCGAGGGCAAATACTTTGATTGATGTATGCACACATTTTATTATTGATATAAATGCTTAAGAAACACAGAAAGCACGGCTTTCACAACGGCAATCTCCTAATATGTTATCAGTAACCATCGACTAAATACCTTCCCATTTTTCCAATATTCCCCCCTCCTCTCTCACTCTCTCTACCTCTCTCTCTTTCTCTCATACACACACACACACACACACACACACACACACTCATAGTGAATAGAGAACAACAGAATTATTCCAACCGAAAATCCTTGCGGACAGTTTTTGAAATCGTTCACAAAAAGGCGGTACTTTATTCTATTGAATCAGAAGAAAAAATTGACATTTAGGTAAATATTTTATCACACAGATCCACCGACGGAATATCTTCTTCTTTTTTGGATATTTCTCTCTCTCTCTCTCTCTCTCTCTCTCTCTCTCGGCGTAGAAAAGAACAGAATTGCTCCAGTGGGAGAGTCCGTCGTCGTCGTGAGCAGTTCCGCAATAACCATCTCGGCGCGTTCGTTTCGTTTTTCCTTCTTCAGGCAGGCGATTCGAGACGACGATCGCCGCGAGACGGTCCTCCGTCGACATAAGGAGAATTACGTAATTCGCGGCACGCGCGCCCCCTCATTTGTGCGTGCACATGTGCGAGCACGGAAACTCGCGGTCTGTCCTGGAATCAAGCAGCCGCGAATAGGCAACGAGACAGATAGGCCGTTAGATCGCGCACGCGAATCAACCTAATTGAGTAACGAACGCGCTGTTTGTCAACAGCTCCGCCCTGCACGCTGAACACAACTCGCAATTTTGCAACGCTGGGTCGCGTCGCGAGAGCGTGATAGCGTGCAGTGCATTATTTATTACCGCGGCCACAATCAAACGGACGCGCGTGCGTCCTCGTTTGAATTGTCATCGGCAAATTATTGCGATAAGTAGCTCAATTCGTCGGGCGAATTGCTCTTTCCTCTTTTTATCCCTCCTTGCTGTCGTTCCGCTACGAAAGCTTAACCGAGACGAGTGGAGAATACGGTGAAACGTACTTAGAGCCGCGCTTGATTCAATCGCACGGCAAGTTGTTTTTAATAATTTTATCTATTCTTTAACTTCTTCGAAAGCAAACTGTGTCAATGAGGAAACAAAACTGAATTGCACGTCGCTAAATGTGACAATCACCTCTGGGAAAATACGATAAATAACTGAAAATCTCTCCATAAATTAGAACAAATATAACAATCGAAATTCCAAATGTTCAGTCGCGCACGCGCGCGATACCGAACGACTCGACGGAAATTTTCGACGGCGCGACGTCGAGGCCGAAATCTACCGCGGCTGCGGGAAGCAAAATGTCGGGCCGCGGTAGGTCAGAGTTCAGTCGAGCAGCCTGGCGTTTCGATCCCGCGCCGTTTTGTTCCGTTCCGCGGCCGATTTTCCGCGGAGGCGGAAGATCTCGCCGACGTGCACTCGCAGCACGCAATAATCGTCCCGTCGAGCGCATCCGCCGAAAGAGAGCGTTAAATCAGCGGTTTAACGGGCCGAAAACGCGGCTCCAAATAAACTTGGATAACGGCCAGGTGGCTCGATGATAACCATACGCTACGTGGTGCATCGTACTCTCGCGCGCGCACACGAGAGAGAGAGAGAGAGAGAGAGAGAGAGAGAGGGTCAAAGTTGAATAAACATTGGTGACAACGATTGAACCTCGGCCGAGTAACATGTTGTAATCATAACGACATGCGTAACGCAGCTTGTTCAACAAGCTAGCGATATTGCGCTGGACGCGACGCTCGGCGAGTATTTCGAAGCGTGCGAATTGATGTTTTATTCTTTTTCATTTCACCCTTTTTTTTTTTTTTTATTGTCAAAGCTCTCGGGCGTACGATCGATCGGGAACGAGAGAAGCCAATGAGAGGCCTTTGAAAGATGCAAATTGCGAAACTTAGTCAATTTATAAACGAGACAAGAAATGGATATCAAACACGGACCCTTCTAAGAATTACTTCATAACATTTCGGTCGCCTCATCCGGATCCTCCTTCCTCGGCGGGAAAGTCCAGAGAGAAGTAATGCACAAGAATGATTTGATTACGGCCTTAACTAGAACGAGACCGACACTCCATTTCTTATTTCGTTTACAGATTGAGTTAACTTTGTAATTTACATCTTGCGTCTCCTCTTATTGGCTTTTTCGCTCCCAGTTGAAGTTTCTTTTTTCTAATGACGGATTAGACGAAATGTATCTTCGTTTAATTATGTATATTTATTCACTTTGCTTGTACGTTTTTACATAATTATATATGTACGAGTATTTAATTGTCTGATTTATTTATGTATAAAAAAAGATTCACGAAACAAAATTTGTTGTCCTAAACATTTTATTACAACAATAATGTAATTAAAGAAATTTTTGATTAGTACGGACGGAAATTTAGTACGGACAAAAGTCTAAATGTATATTGCTCTGTTATAATATAACAAATAATAATAAAAGTAGGCTCTACAATCACAAGTCAAATTTGAGAGTCAGTATATAATTCGATAAATAATTTTTGAAAAGGCTAATGCGATTTTCCCGCTGAACTTTTCAGTCCGATTTCGCTCCCCATTACCATATCGATTGTCTCGCACATTTTTAAATACGATACGTTATTTCCCTTCCTCTTTAATTATCATAATTATAACTGATACTGCAGGAAATATTATCTCATCTGAAATTTACTGCAGCGAGTTTATGATATAATTAATTTATTATCCGTAAATGTATCATATACTGCGATTTAACGTTTAGATCTTAATGAAGCGATTTAATATTGAATCAAAATATTGAATTACAATTTAATCGTGTTATTTAGAATTGTATTAAATTACGTCACGTGTTCCACAACGTTCTGTTCACCCGACGACAACGTTAATTGTTACTCGCGTTTCAGGAGCAAAGTGGCGGCCGCTCTTCTCAACAAGCACCTGCAGATCAACGGGATCTCCGCCGGTCTGACTTCTTTGCCGACCGTGGACCAATCGTCGCCCGATCCGCAACCGGAAGAGCCGCCGATGGCCAGCAGCAGCAAGATGAAGAGGGAACGGAAAGCGGCCAGGACGCTCGGCATCATCATGTCGGCGTTCCTCGCCTGCTGGCTTCCTTTCTTTCTCTGGTGAGTTCACCCGTGTCAAGATGCGGCTGAAACGTCGCCGGTGTCACGATCCATCGCGTTCGATTGATCGATTTATTGATGGGGAAATCGAAAGAAGAAACATACTAAGAGTCACGCACGATAGGACGAGCCGATTGATGGGGGCGCGAGCGGGATTCGAGAGATCAAATGAATTAGCTGATTCGATAAATCTAGAACTTGTTGGGCAAACTTTAGAAACGGCAAACACATAATTCGGTGATTGTGCGGCGGAGGACTTTGACTTTGACTTTGGAAACATCGTCAATCTGCTAATTTTCGTCGCCGGAGCGATTATTTCCTGCGGTAGAATTTTGTTTTTATTACACGATATATGCCGTGCTATGATATCAAATTTCGTTAAATACAGGAGGAAAAGGATATTCAATAATTGCGTAGTGAAATTGCATTTATGAACTTGCGTTTCTAAAACCGCTTTCGTAACATATTTAGTTTAGTATCAACGATATACGTAATAATCTTATAGAACGTTAATACCTTTTTTTTTTATAAAACAATGAAAAATGTGGTCTACGTCGAAAGTGATTATAACCTTAATGAGACAAACCGTTTCTTTCCTTAATTTCTACGTAGTTCCGAGATTCGGGATCGGGATTCGGGGGTGTTAATCGCGTTAATCGTCGAGACTTCTCTCAAGCGAGATAATCAGATTTAAATTTAGAGTTAGGGGCGAGTTCTAACAGCTGAGTCGCAGCTACAAACTCCGATCTAATTCTAAATATACACGTGAATATCTCACGCGAAACAAGCTTTGCGAGCAACGCAAACTATTAATACGAAACCTTAAATATGACACAGCAACTGACTGTTCGTACATTACGACTGTAGACTCGCTAGAAGCCAGTGAAGTTTCTAGTTTGTAACGGTCTTTCTTTTACCACTCGAAGGAGACACGTGTTGCGCGACGCGTCACAACGTTTAACGTTACTTCGACGAACGAACACGATTACCGCGCGGTACGTACTCGCCAAACTATTGGGTTGGCAACTAAGTGATTGCGGATTTTGTCGACAGATGGATTTTACACTTTCTTTTGTTTCGTTAACGTGTTCAAAGTACCTAACCTATATTTTTTTCTTATTGTTTGGACTTCTACCTTTCATTTAGTACAAAAATTATATCGATTAGTTCTTTAGTTTTGTTTTTATCCCAATTTAAAAATGGAAGAGCAAGACGTGCACTTCAGACATATTTTATTGTATTATTTCCGAAAAGGCAAGAACGCATCGCAAGCACACAAGAAGTTATGTGCCGTATATGGGAATGAAGCCTTGAAAGAAAGGCAGTGTCAAAATTGGTTTGCCAGACTTCGTTCTGGTGATTTTTCATTGAAAAATGCTCAACGATCTGGCCGTCCAGTTGAAGTCGATGAGACCCATATCGAGGCCATTATCGATTCAGATCGTCATAGCACAACACGTGATATTGCAGAGAAGCTCAATGTATCGCATACATGCATTGAAAAAAATTTAAAAAAGCAAATTTAAAATTTTGAATTTTCATTCTTATTTAAAATCCGCAATCACTTAGTTGCCAACCCAATATAATCAGCGTATTTCTCACTGAAACGCTATACCTATATCTGGTGTTTCGATTATAAGTATGGCACTGTAGTCGGTAAAATGTATTGGTAGCGGAATGCGTCAGTAAAATTTTTCCGTCTCTGAATTTGGTCTTTTGGAGAAATTATGCTGTGTGATTATATTACGCGCCGGTCTAACAACGTCATGATATTATGCGATTTTTCCCGTTATAATCGGAATCACAATTGGAAATTATGCTTTCGATTACCCGCGAATTCTATTTTTTCCGGCTGTACGATCAGAGATATCTCGATCGCTTGTCGATTTTATCTCCAATGGTAATACCCAAAAATCTCTACAGAACTAGCGGAAATTCGTCGAAAATATATTCGCTTGTCGTTTTTTTTCAATATTTCATATTTCGTCTCCTTCTGGTCGTTAAAGCTTGCATCGGGTACATTTTTATCCACACGAGGGAAAAAATTGAAAAACGGTGTCGACGAGAGCCCTACACGCGATTTTATCCATTTTTTTACTTCCGTTTACCGACTTGCACTCATTATCGAGACGATTCGCAAACACAGGCATCATCATTGTGCACAAGGCGCGTGAAATCCGTTTTACCGTGATTTTACCGTTAATTCGCTGCGAGTGCAGAAATTCGAAGTTTCTTCTTGCAGCGTACAACAAATTTGCATGTAACAGATTTCGCGGTGAAATTTTTCCTCCATTGGCGACCCAATCGGCGAGATATAAAGCGGAGGAGAAAAACAAGAGTGTTCCCGTCGAAAATCAATTAATATTCACCGAGTCAAGCGGAAGCGACTTTTTTATCGATTCGCTTGAAGAGAGCGCGTCAGCAACTCGCGTTAATCGCGGCTCACTCGCGGTCGAAACGTGCATACATACGCGGGATTAGTCGCCGACGTGACGTTGGCAAGCGCATTATCGTTATCATCTCCTGATCGCGATCATCTCGATCATTCGTTTCAAGTGTCGCTGAGTACGCACGTCCTCTGGGACGCATGTTACGACTACGTAACTTTTAACTTTTAAAGAACATGGTCACGACTCGAAACAAGATATTGACTCGAAATAGGATCACGACTCGGAATAAGACCGAGAGATGAAAAACTGTAAAAGACAATTGACAATGGAATATTGATTATTGATTATGGGTTGTGACTCTTATGTCGTGAGAAACATCCGTTCCCTACTTCTTATAAGGTGGTAAGAACTCGCGCGGGAGTATCTGATCACCTGGTTATAAAAGGCGATGCGCAAGCTAGGCCGCAGAGCTCTTCAGTAGACACATTCTGTAACTCATTAGTTCCTTGTGATTTAGTAATTCAGACGATTATCTGTCATTTGCGCTTAAAGGTTGATCCAAATCATTTGTACTGTGAAACACATTAGGTTATACTTTTCATACCTTTTGACACTTTGTGGTAGAAATCAGTCACTTTTCGTGAAGAGACTCTTGCGATTGAGACACAGATTCTTAAATATAAAGATAATTCTAATTCTTTGAGAAGTTAGTTTGAAGGTTTGTTTTTATTAAAGGTATTTATTTAAATTTTAACCTCCTTAATTTTCAGTCTCCTAAATCAAATCTCCAATAATACTTCCACATTTAAACATACATTCATCAACTATTTTCACACAGACTTGTCCATTCCAGGGTAAATTGGTTAAATCCATTGATTCAAAAAGGACAACACAACATAACTAAAAATTCTTGAATCACGACGTGACACGCGTGTCACTGCCCTCTTCCCCCCCCCTCTCTCTCTCTCTCTCTTTCGTCGTCTTTCTCAATTTCTTTCTTTTTTCTCACGGCAAATACTCGCAACGCCTCTCGAGTTGCAGTGTGCAGAGAGCGAGAGGAAGTACGTTTCACGAGTGTCTTTTGAGAGCCCTACTCATTTTTCCTCGCCGAGGGCGGCCTCGGAAATCTCGGTAATTAATTGGTCGGAGCGTTTGCGTGCCGGTAAAAACGTAAATAGAACTTCGCGGCGCGATGCGACGCTCAGATGACGCGGCGGATTGTTAGCGCGACTAAAACAATTGTTTATTGCAACCGGTGGAATGTATAGTTTAAGATACCATTTTTTGTCGGCACAGTTAACCTTTCGTCGTTACAGTTACAGCAAATTTGGCGCATTAACAAGTCCCATTGCGGCTGGTAAAATTAGTCGCTCCGACGACAAAAGTCAGTCAAGACAGCACTCAGCCAAATGCACTGCCGAGCTAAGAAAAAACGTTTCGCTGTTGCGTCAGAGGAAATTTGGCGCATCAACAAATTTCGCTATCGCTGGTAATTAGTTGCTCTGATGATAAAAGTGTTAATCAGAGCAACATCGCTCACTGCGTGATGGAAATCAATGCTTATGGCCGGCCGATGCCGGCTGTATTTCCATTTCGCTTCATTTTCCGGGCGCGCTTTTCACCCCAATATCGGCAACGAGGGTGCGACCGAGAAAGAAGAGAAAAAAAAACCAGAAAAAAGAGGGAAAAGGGAGAGAAAATATCGTGCTACGAGTTCGCTAATTGCCGCATACAGGACTGTCATCGATGCAGCTCCCAATTTTTCTCCTCGTGTGGCGAAAGCGCTCGGCGCAAACTTTAACTAAAAAGAAAGATGGAGAAATATGAAGTATCGTAAAAATCGACGCGCCGATATACGCGCCGGCGAGTTTCCATCAATTTTCAAGAAAGCTCGCCACGTTGCCGTTGGAGAAATAAAATCGGTAAACAATCGGGATATTATCTGACCGTTCGAACGGAGAATCAGCATTCGCGAAAGATCGTAGTTTCTCGATTATAATTCCGATGCGGAAGAATTACATAACATCACGGCGTGTAGTTGCCGCAGCGCGTAATAATTGCAGTGTAACCTTTTCAACGCGTCATGTCTAATGCGCGGAAAAAAGATTTGCCGTTACAACGGAAAACCTCGCCAGCTTCGCACGAATGTAGTCGCGATTGTGCAGTTTTTTACGCCGCCATTCTCAGTAATTCATTAGCATATATTTTACCACATCTTAGAGCAACACTTAGATCAATCAATTATTACACCTGATGATGAACTTTGATGCTACAGCATGAGAACTTGTTGGTACAGCAACAACGATTCTCCACGAAAACCCACGAAAAATATAATTTACTTACCATACCGAAGAGATTAACAGTTATCATGAAATTTGCAAAGTGAAGGACCTTCCTCTTGAGTTGACTCGCCCTGCACGGAGACAATATTTTGAGAAGATACTAACATTTGGAATCCAAAGGAATTATTCATTAATTGTTGCAACGCGTAAACTTTTCGCGCAACTGAAACGGTGTATTATTCAATAAAAGTTATGGCGCGTATATCACTCGATGAAAATTTTATTTACTTGGTATTATCGCTCGGTAAAAATTTTACCTCGATGAAAA